GGGCTCCGGGCTCTCGGCGCCCAGGGACTGGCGCCCGCCCCGAGGCCTCGCAACCCGCTCAGACGCCCAGTTCCTGGCCCGCCCGCACCCCACCTCCTAGGCTCCGCAACCAGGAACCATGGCCGAGGGAGGTACTCCGAAACTAGAAGCCCGAGGCCTGGGGAGAAGCAAGCGCCGCCTCACCTGAAGGCGTGGGCAAGCGCCGGAATTTCCGAACGGGCTGCATTTACGGTCGTTACCTCTGCAGAAGTCCGCGCGCACGGAGACCAACCATCTCTTCCTAAACACCTCAAGCTCCCCGCCCAAACCGCAGGCTCGGCGTGCTCCTATTGGACGGTTGCGCCAGCCGGCGACCAATACTCTGTCGTCTTCTTCCTCTGGTGGAAGAAAACTGAAACAAAGGCATTCTCATTGGCTGCTGCTTGATCTATTCACTAGGCGGGACTAAGTACGCTGAAGCCTTGTGCAATTGGTAGAGATCTATGTCCGTCATCTCGCGCTCAGCCCCCGAGGAAGAGAGCGGAAGGAGAATTTTGGCGCTCTTAATTTGAACTTTCTGGCGGGAGAAAAAGTTAACTTGGTCCATTTGGGAATAAAGAAAAAAATATTAAATTTGTGCCTCCTAATGCTTCTCCCAAAAACTTTGGTGAAGGAGAGGTCTTTCTTTGACTTTTGTGGCTCTCTGATTCAAAGCCTCTGTATTGGAAACAAGCCCAGTATCATTTCCTTCAAGGACTCATCTTTCTGGTCTTGAGATACTGAACAAGCAACACCTGCCCTCATCCGAACCTTGGCTGTTTTTCACTCAAGAAATTGCAGATTTCAGCAAGAGATCCATTCTGAAAAATGATGTTGCTGAAGAAATGAGCGTACACAGACCTCATCTTGTAATGGAAGCCCAGCCTAACGCCCTTGGTCCTGTTGTGTGCGTGACTACAGGTTGCGCCAATGGGAGCCACTTCCTTCCTGTTTCCCCACTATTTGTCACCCAGAGCCTCGTCTTTTATTTTTCCAAGGAGACTCAGTTCTACATTGATGTAGTTGGCCAGGCATGGTGGCACACGCCTTTAATCTCAGCACTTGGGAGGCTGAGGCAAGAGGATCGCTGTGAGTTTGAGGCTACATAGTGAATTCAAGCCCATCCCGAACTGCACAGCGAGACCCTGTCTCAAAACAAGCAAAAAAACAAAAAATTGATGTTGAAGTCCTTCTGCAGGCTTCCTCTGAGCCCTTCTCAATAACGGTGCGTCTCCTCAGAGTGATGTCAACATTTCCTGGAATATCGACAGTAACTGCTGAAAACGATCTTTACTCTTGCAGGAGATGCGGCAGAGAGGAAAACGTGGCATTCATGCACAAATGCAGAACTACTCTGTTATAAAGGATAAAAGAGTCGTTTGTAGGAAAATAGATGCACCTTGAGACTAATGTTAAGTGAAATAAATCAGACACACGTTTAAATATCGGGTAGTTTCTCTTATATGAGAAACCCAAAGTATAAATAAATTAAAAAGATAGATATTAGGAAACAGGAACTAGGTCTTTTGCAAATGGGAGGGGCTGGGGCTATAGCTTAACAGTGAGGCGCCTCCTCGCAAGCACAAAGCCCTGAGTTCGATTCCTGGTTCAAAAAAAAGTTTTTGCAAATGGGAAGGAGACCAAGAGATGGAGGGTGGAGGAAGAAGGGGAAGTAAGAAGAATTAAGGTGCATTGTGTATGTGTATCTCAGCCTTCCAGAGTGCTGGGGTTGCGAGTGGGCACCCCATGTGATGGCGCACACCTGTCGTCCCAGCACTCGGGAGGCTGAGGCAGGAAGTTTACAGCAAATTTGAGGCCAGCCTGAGCTACATAGCGAGACCCTGTCTCAAAGCAAAACCAAAAAAAAGCAGAAACAAGAACAAAACTGAAAAAAACCCAAACAAACCATGTTCTAGTCTAAAAAAGAGAAAGAAAGAGCAGTCGTAGTTCTCCACTGAGCATGCAGAGACTGCGGGGCTCTGCCTGCTGTCCCCTTCCCTGCTCCTAAGGGCAAGGCCGGCTGGCCTCTGCAGGACTCCCCAGCCTGCCGGCCTCCCCGAGTCCTGACCTACATTGCCATGGATACTGACGGGAGGAGGGGTGCTGGGACTGGGGACCTGTATCCTCCCCACCGGGTCTCTGTTCTGTCCTGCTCCTCAACCACCAGCCACAGGCCTCACCTGTGCACCCAGGGTCTTCCTCAGGGCTGGGGGGCCACAGGGAGCTGAGTGTGGGACAGAGAAGGGGGCAGCCGCAGGAGCCCCCCCCAACCCACCTCCTACATTTGAAACTCCCTAATCCTTGGTCTCTAAAGCCCTGGTCACTGCCTTGACAGGCTGGAAACTGTCAGGGGCCCTGAGCAACTCAGCAAGAAGTTGGCTCCCTAGAGCATGTGTGATGTGGTGGCCTCTTCTCAGTATGCCCAGTGTCCCTGACATGGTTCCCCACGTCACAGAAAAGAAAATAGAGGCTCAGAGCCCCCACCTGACCCCCAGGATGAGCCTCCAGGTCCTCTTCCTCCTCCCCAGCAGACAGAGCAGGGCAGGTGTTTAGGGCTCTGGCAAGGTTTGGGGCTTATTTTTGTAAGGGGAACAATATAATACAGGACACATATTTTGTGCTAATATTTTTTGTTTTGTGTTTTTTGTTTTGGTCTTTTTGAGACAGGGTCTCACTATGCAGTTCAGGCTGGCCTTGAGCTCACTTATGTAGCCTAGGCCGGTCTAGAACTCGCACTGATCCTCCTGCCTCAGCCTCTGGAGTGCTGGGATTATAGATGTGTGCCACTATGCCCAGCCAGGACACATATTTTATAAGATTATTTATAATAGTCACCCAAAGAATGACATACAAGAGTGCAGGAGCTGGGTGTGGTGGTGCACAACTGTAATCCCAGCACTTGGGAGGCTGAGGCAGGAGGATCATTGTGAGTTCGAGACCAGCCTGGGCCACAAAGTGAGCTCAAAGCCAGCCTGAATTGCATAGTGAGACCCTGTCTCAAAAAAAAGACAAAAAAAAAAAAAAAGTGCAGGAAATCTGTCCACACACCAAAACCAAGGAAACTAGCCGAGGGCCTGGATCCCACAGAAATGTCCTGCATGAGTCCAGCTGAAGACCTAGAGCTCATAACAGTGCCTCCCATGAATCTAACCGGAGGCCCAGAGCCCACAACATATCTCATGTAGGCCTGTTTTCAGGGATCTGCACTGGAGCCAGGAAGCGATGCTCAAAGTAAGAACCAGAGCTCCCCCAGAAGGTACTATAGCCATCTTCAGCAACAGTGAGGTCCCGAGCTCCTCCAGTGGTAAAGACAGCTGAGTTCCCATCAGGAGAGCCACTGCAGCAAGCTTCTCTAGGAGACGGAGCTGTGCACTATCTTCCCCTCCGGAGCCAGGAAGCGATGCTCAGAGTGAGGACCAGAGCTCCCCCAAAGTGAACCAAAGCTATTCTCAGTGCCAACAAGGTCCCATGCTCCTCAAAGGATGAAAACAGCCGAGTTCATCAGGAAAGCCAGCATGACAAGCTCCTCCAACAGAGCAACAGCACCTTACAGCTTCTACCAGCTCCCAATAGCCTCACTTTTTCTTTTCTTTTCTTTTTTTTTTTTTTGAGACAGGGTCTTTCTATGCAGTTCAGGTCAGCCGTGAGCTCACTTTGTAGCCCAGGCTGGTCTTGACCTCGCAATGATCCTCCTGCCTCAGCCTCCTGAGCGCCGGGATTCCAGGCGTGCGCTACCACGCCCAGCTAGCCTCACTTCTCCAGTTCTACCTCTTATGCTGCTGGCAACCATCCCCAGGTGGGCCTCCCACACCCAGCACCACGCTTACTCAGTTCAGCTGGGGGTTATAAGTTGACCACCAGTTGTCAGTCCACTGCAGGCTCACTTTTAGAGCACTGTGATGAGCTCGGGAGACCAAGGATTCAGGGACTTTAACAGGCAGGCGTGTGCAGGGGTGGTGACGTCTGCCTGTAAGCCACACCCCCGGCCCGGCTGAGGCTGCACTTGATGGGATGAGCAGCAAAGCCACACTGCCAAGGGGTGTGGACACGGATCATTTCTCACACTTTCAAACCGGAGGTGTCCTGCTTGTGCCTCTCTTAACCTCTTGTCCAGGACTCCTTGCCTCAGGTGTTTGCATGCCCTTCAGTAATGGTAGATCAACTGGGAAGATGAGGCAGGAGGGCTACAAATTCAAGCCCAGCCTGGATAACCCAAGTGTTTTTTGCTGTCTCTTTGATGGCTGGAACAATGCTAATCACTTTGTTGCTGTTTTCAGACAGGGTCCCCCTAGGTAGTTCAGGCTGGTCTTGAATTTGCTATGTAGCTCAGGCTGGCCTCAAACTCATGGTGATCCTCCTGCCTCAGCCTCCTGAGTGGTGGGATCACAGGAGCATGCCACCATGTCCGGCAACATCTGTCACTTTTACTGTGGATTGTTTGGGTGAGTTCTGGGGAGAAGCAACATGGACAGGCAGGAGTGAGTTTATCTAGAGCAAGACATACACCATGAGCAAAGGGATAAAGGGTTCAGAGCAATGGGCTCTGTGCTCAAGACGTGGGTTTGAGTCTGGCAGTGCCTATGCTCACAATTTTCTCTTTATTTTTTTAAGGCAGGATCTCACTATGTAGCCCGGGCTGGCCTTGTATTCACGGTGATTCTCCTGCCTCAGCCTCCTGAGTGCTGAGATTACAGGCATGCGTCACCACACCCAGCATTTTCTTTGTCCTATACATTAAAATAATTTTTAATGAGATACCAACTTTTAAAAACGAGACAATGAACAGAAAAATCCAGTTATCTGGCTTGTTTTGAGAAATGCAAAGCTCTGGAAACAGTAGGATCCTGTTCCTGCATGATTACAAACCCAGCTGAGCAGAGAGGGTGGTTTCCTTAAAGCCCATCCATGCCCTGAAGTCTCCTCCAGGCTCCCCTCCCTGACTCAGCTTCCCTGCTGGGTCCTCTGGGGGTCTGAGGCCGCAGTCCCCAGCAGGACAGCGCCAGGAGCTGGTGTGGAATGTCAAGCGGGGTTGGAGGTCCCAGGTCCCGGGTATCCAAACGGGGAGTTCGTACTCAGTTCAGCCGCGGGAAGCAGGGCTGAGCAGCATTTGCTCAGGGACCACTGCTGCGTAACAAACTAGCCACAAGGTAATGGCCAAAGACAACAATTCCTTTATTTAGCTCCTGATTCTGTGAGGGGGCAAGTAGGGCTGGACACCGCTGGAAGGTTCTTTGGTCTCCACTGGGCTCTCATCTGGGTCAGCGGCGAGGCTGGCTGGTCTCGCGAGATCTCGGCTGGGACAGGTGTCCGCCATTTGGCTCCTGTCCTCCAGTGCACTAGCCCAGCTGGCTCACGCCTGGGTAGAGGTCCAAGCGAGGGAGTGGACATTGTAAGGCCTCCTGAAGTCTAGGCTGGGAACTGACATACTGTCACTTCTTTTACACTTTATTGACCAAATCAAGTCACAATGTCAGGCCAGATTCAAATGGTGGGGAACAGATTTTGCTTTTTTTTTTTTTTCTGTTATTGAGACAGGGTCTTGTCATGTACTTCAGGCTGCCCTTGAACTCACTATGTAGCCCAGGTTGACCTCAAACTCATGGCACTCTTCCTGCCTCAGCCTCCCAAGTGCTGGGACTAAAGGTGGGCACCACCAGGTCCATCTGAGACAAGTGGCAAAGTCACACTGCCAAGAGGTGTGGATACAGGAAATCATTTATCAAAATGTCTGAGTCAGAGACGTCCTTTTTGTGTTTCTCCCACCTCTTGTCCAGGACCCCTTGCTTCAGGCTTTCACATGCTGCTCAGTAAAGGCAGATAGTCTCCGTAGGATTTCTGTGAATGAACAGACAAAAAGTGAGACCTGCAGGGAGCAGAGCGCCAGGCTAGAAACACAATCCCACGTGTGCATTTCACAGTCGAATAGAAACCATGTCCCCTGGTCTGCCTGATGCCTGAACCGTCATCTGCACACATGCATTTGGGACAGGAAGTTCTCCTCTAACTTGATCAACTTTAATTTTTTTTTTTTTTTTGAGACACTCTTTGTTGTGGAGGGCTGTCCTATGCATTTTAGAAAACTGAGCAGCAACCCTGGCCTATTATTTTTTTGTACTGGGTATGAAAGTCAGGACTGCTGGGAAGATGGCTCAATGACACAGTGCCTGCCTGGCAAGCGCAAGGTCCTGAGTTCGAGTCCTGATACCAAAAAAAAAAAAAAAAAGAAACTCAGGACCTTCATATTGAATTGCATTCCTAGATCTTTTTAATTATTTTGAGACAGCATCTTGCTAAGTCACTAGGTTGCCATGGCTGGGCTCAAACTTGTAATCCTTCTGCCTCAGTCTCCCAAAGTGCTGGGGTTACAGTGAGCATGTTACGCCAGGCTGATCTCTGGCCTCTCATCCATGAGGCACTGGGAGCATACTCCACACACCGGAGATTTGTGACTGTCACAAGTGTTTTGAGACACTGCCGAATGTCTGCCGGTGGGCAAAATTACCCTTCAAAGTGAACTACTTTCTAGAAGCTTGTAAAAACAAAATCTTGCTAGTGCGACAGTGCGTACCCATCATCCCAGCACTTGGGATGGGGCTGGGGCAGGAGGACTGAAGAAAATTTGAGGCCAACCTGGCCTACATAATGATTTCAAGGCTAGCCTGAACAGCAAGACCCTGTCTCAAAAAACTGAAGTCAGGGGCTGGGAATTTAGCTCAGTGGCACAGCGCCTGCCTGGCAAGCACAAGGTTGTGAGTTCAATTCCTGGTACCAGAAGAAAAACAAACAGACAAAAAAATAAAACCCTGAAGTCAATCAATCCATCAATCAATCAAATCAGAAATGTTTCACAACTGTGAAGTAAACACATGGCTTGTGTCCCTCACATTAGGAAGAACCTTACCCTCCACAGAGGGCCGCGCAGAGGGCTCATAGGCCCGGCACTCATCAATGATCTCCTGTAGCAGGGGACAGCAGTCTTCGCCTAGTGGTTCCTGCTGCTGCTTCTCAAAAACCAGCTGGTAGATCTCCTTAGAATTACAGCCTGGCATGAAGAAAAAAATGAATTACATCCTGGCATGGCAATGCCAAGATGGGAGACGTTAAACATTGCTCTGGGGCATAAAAAGAATTAAAATGTGCTATGTACATGAACCAATCCCCCACAATGGAGGTAATTACCATATATATATATTTTTGCAGTAATGGGCCTTGTACCCAAGGGTCTTTACAGTGAGCTACCTCCCCTGCCCTTTTTTATTTTTTACTTTGAGACAAGGTCTTGCTAAGTCACTAAGTTGCCCAGGCTGGCCTCAAACTCGAGATCCTCCTGCCTCAGCCTCCCAGAGTTCTTGGATGACAGGTGTGTGCCACCACACCTGGCTCTGAGTGTACATTAACATATACTTATAAAAATAAAAATGACAAAACAAAACAAAAGCAGTGCTCTGGCAGCCTCACACGCATCACTCTGGATGCTGAAGGCTCGTGTGGGAAGCAGAATTTCTAGTATGGCGATGACACAGGGCTCCTCTGATGCCACTGACAGTCGGGACACTTCCCACATCAGGGCCAAGCGTGTGGGTCAGCACCAGCAGGGGTTTCTCGTCTCATGGACAGGGCCCAATCCCAGTACCAGCAGAGTCAGCCTGTATGGTCTTCACCTTCAAACGGGATCTTCCCGGTGGCGATTTCCCAGAGGACTATTCCAAAGCTTAAGGGAAAATAAGAAAGAACACCATAGCAAGTTCCTTTCCTGTGCCCCTCTAGCCATTTCTGGAAAACTCAGTGACTTTTCTGAATCCCTCCTCAGTGCTACTCAATAGAATTGAGGTGGTCCTCAGAGAAGGTTTTTTCGTTGCTGTTGTTTAGGTTTTTTTTGAGACAGGGTCTTGCTATGTAGTTCAGGCTGGCCTCAAACTCGTGGTGCTCCTCCTGTCTCAGCCTCCCAAGTAGTGGGATTATAGGTGTGCACCACCGTGTCTGGCTCTCAGAGGAGATTTGCCTTGGACTTCCTGTCCTGTTCATCTGAGGTGGGGTGAGTGTGAGAGCGTGAACGTACATACCTGTATATTTCAGCTTTAATGTCATATTTGTGAAACGGACTTTCCAGTCTCTGGGGTGAGGAGTACGCTGTTTTGTTCCCCTTAATTTTCTGACTGATGGAAGTCTGTGTTTCTCTCAACTCAAATCCTGTGAGCTGGACAGGAAGATGAATTAGAGACAGAAAGACTTGAGTGAAGGGTAGAGACGGGGCTGGTGTGACCCGTGGCTGTCAGATGGATTGATTTCTAATGTCTGGGTGGCTACGATGCCGGCAGACTTCATTTGTTCAACTTATCATAGCGCACTGACCAAGACAAATGCAGAGAGGTTCCTTCAGTGTGTAATACAGATGTTGGCAGTGAAGATTTCTTGAGATAATGATTGTAAACCAAATGGGTGCACATCTGTAATCCCAGCAGTCAGGAGGCTGAGGCAGGACGATTGCTAGTTTGAGGGCAGTCTGGGAAATTTAGCAAGTCTTTTTTAAAAAAAAAGAAAAAGCTAGGTGTGGGGGTGCATGCCTGTAATCCCAGCACTCAAGAGCTAACATAGCTTGAGTTTGAGGCCAGCTTGGGCGACATAGCAAGATTAAGGCCAGTCTGAATTACACAGTGAGACCCTGTCTCAAAAAAACAAAAATACCCCCAAAAACACCCAAAAAAGAAAAAAAGCGTGGGGTTGGTGATATATCTCAGTGGTAGAGTACTATCCTGGCATGCCTGAGGCCCTCAGTTGAATCCCATTTACTGGGTGAAAAAAAAGTCTGAAAGACTTGATAAATTGGCAGTCGTTGCTACTAACACCGTGTTGGGTACAGGGCCTTTATTTTTTTTTCCGGTACCAGGAATCGAACTCACAACCTCGTGCTTGCCAGGCAGGCGCTGTGCCGCTGAGCTAAATCCCCAGCCCTATGGGCCTTTGTTTTTGAGACAAGGTCTTGCTATGCAGTTCAGGCTGACGTCTAACTACTACGTAGCCCAGACTGGCCTCAAATTTGCGTCCCAGCAAGGACCAGGATGACAGGTGTGTCCCACTATGCCCGGCCCTTCCTTTAGATTTTTTTTGTTTGTTTGTTTGTTTTTGTTTTGTTTTTGTTTTTCTCCGGTACCAGGAACCGAACTTACAACCTTGCGCTTGCCAGGCAGGCGTTTTTTGCCACTGAGCTAAATCCCCAGCCCCTTCCTTTAGATTTTATAGCAAAGTTGAGAATGATCTTCATCAACCATGCATGGCTGTGCAGTAATCTTAACAAAGCCGGGCACAATTAATGGGAGTGTATGCTCTCGCTCCTTGCACAACCGCTACTAGCACCACTGGTGTGCAGAAGGCTGGCAGCTCCAAGCTCAGCTGAGTGCCCAAATCTAGGGTCAAGGTCAAAGACCTGGGCATAGTGTCACACACTGTAATCTGAGCATTCAGAAGCCTGAGGCAGGAAGATTGCTGTGAATTAGAGGCCAGCCAGGGCTA